ATTCACTTTCATTTAATACATTTATCGAGATTTTCAAAGTAGGTTTTTACACCGCCAACCCCCCTAGAGGTCTGCATTGGGCGGAGTTTCGGCCCGCCAGAAGTGGGCGGGTGAGCGGGCAAAAAATTTTTAAGAACGGGCAGGAGGGCGGGCGAGTTAAAAAATTTTAAATCATTTAAGTAAATATTAAAAATTTCTTTTTATGAACCTTGATATTAAAAATTATGTATCATAAAAACTTTTTCCTTAAATAAATTTTTTATATATTTAAAATTACTTTGGTGGAAACTACAAGAAAGAGATTTGTCAAAGTTATCAATATTAGCAAGAAAAATATTGGCAATTCTTGCAACTAGTGCTTCTTATGAAAGAGGATTTAGCATTGCTGTAAGGTTTTTAGAACAAAGAAAAACGTGTTGAATCCAAAAAATGTCGATTCATTATTATTTTTGCATTGTTAATTACATACAATACCAATTTTATATTTATATTATTTTCATAAATATTTTATTTAAACAATTAAAATATTCATAATTTAAATTGAATATTTTTTTATGCTTAATATAGTAATTTCCAAAAAACTTTTTGCAGAGGTGTAATGCTGAAATTTTTTATTATTAGATGCTTATAAAAAATTGAAAGAATGGCCATTATTAAATTTTATAATAGCGGACTTGAGTTAAAAAATTTTTATAAATAATGGGTGGACGGGAAAATTTTAGACTAAAGGGGCAGGAGGGTGGGCGGGTAAAGAATTTTAGACTAATGGGCGGGGTGGTTATATTTTTTTTGAAAACCATGGGCAGGCTGGAAAGGTGGGTTAAATTTTTTTTAAAACATTGGGTGAGAGGGGCTTATGGTCCAAAAACCCGCCCAATGCAGACCTCTACCTACCCCTCTATCAATGAGCTAGATCAAAGAACATAGAGAAATAATAGTATTCAAAAAATATTTTTATTTGCTTATTTGATGTCCTTGTAAGTATATTCATTGTAAAAGAAATTTAAATCTCTCCAAACCTCGTTACAAGGATAGAGTGATAATTTTAATAGTACTACTCAAAATAATTTTATTGGCCTCCATTTGATACCCTTATTTAGATATTTTTTTGGAAAAATACTTCCACCCCTTCATGATATAAACCAGAAGATATAGAATAATTATTAATTTTAAAATTCAAAAAATCATGTTTATGCATTTGAAAATAAAAAAAATAGTAAAAATTTATTTATTATACTTTCTAAATTCAATTCTGAGAAAATTAAAATTTTTACTTAGCAAAATCATCTTTTGGGAATTCGGTGTTTTAAGTTATTTTAATTCTGAGTTATTTAGGGGGAAAAAATAATATCCTATTGTAGTTATGCATTAAATATTGGGCTTCAGAATTAATGCTTATCAAAGTTTGGTAAACTTTGTACTTAAGGCTCTTAATATTAGATTCAGATTTCTTTTTTGAAAATATAACTAATATTTTATACCTAAGAAAACAGAAAAGATAAAAAAAATATCTATAAAGATCGTAAAATCATAAGATTCTAAAATATTTTGAAATTGGAAAAATTCCTTACCAACTTTTATCGCTAATCCACATTTGCGAATACTTTTCCGCGAAGACAATATTGCAAATTTTTTTATAGTGAAACCCTTATCGCGAAACCTATAAAGCTATAATACATTACAGCGAAAAACTATTTCGCTAAATATATCGCGAAGAATTATAGCGAATTTAATATCACGAGGTCAATATCGCGATAATTGTGCTGTTAATTGTCTAGTTCTTCCGACTAAGACTAATATACGAGGAAATCGACTAAAAACTTTATGAATTAGTCGATAGTCGACTAAAGTTAATCCATTTAGGCTTAGTGGAACCATTTTGTAGGCTTAGTTGACCCATAGTCGACTAAATAGAATTTTAGAGCCGAATTTGCATTACTATATACTCGGGGTAAAAATTAAATTGTAAACATGGTAAATTGGATTTCAGTGACGATGAAACATAGAAAAATGACAATTTTTGTAAAAATATATTAAACATGATAAATTAAAATTTAAATGATAATGTACCATAAAAAGTGACCGTTATTTTTAAACCTTTTTGAAGCTAATATGTAAAAATATAACTTGTAAACATTTTAAATTAAAATTAAATGAGGATGCATAATAGAAAAATAATTGTCATAATCATTATTTTTAAACTTTTTTGCAAATGGGTAAAATTATAAATATTAAATGTTAAAGTAAAATTTAAATGAAGATGTGACATAGTAAGGTGACAATTGTCATGATCGTTATTCTTAAACTTTTTTGAAGTAAATAGCTAAAATTGTAAATATGTTAAATTAAAATTTAAATAAGGATGTACCATAGAAAAATGATAATTGACATAATCGTTCATTTTAAATTTTTAATAATTTTGAAGTAAATGGGTAAAAATATAAACTGTAAACATGTTAAATTAGGAGTACCATAGAAAAATGACAAATGGGCAAAAAATAAATTGTAAACATGTTAAATTGAGATTTTAGTGAAGATGAACCATGGAAAATGACAATAATTATATTCATTATTAAATATATTGCTCAGAAATATTTACTATTTATTTTATTTATGTTTTTTTTGAGTTTTCAAATTAATCATTATTCTGTGTCTTAATAATATAATAATCCTGAGAAAATTTTAAAAAAATTACTTAACAAAATCTTCTATGATTTTTAAAAATAATCTGAGAAAATCAGCAAACAAGCTTAGCTTTTACTATTTTTTACATTGATTGGAAAAATTTATAAGCATTTCAAAATATTTGTTCAAATTTACTTTTAATAACATAAAGCACATTTTAAAAAAAATAATTTTTTTTTTTGGGGGGGGGGGGGGAGATGAATTTATTGGGATAAAAATCTTAACCAAATATCCCTTCCATATTTAGAACTATCCGTGAGAAGAGCCCAAAAAGATATTGGTATTTTTTATCATATCAGATAAAGGTTACATGCTTACTTAATAGACAATAGGTAACAAAAGATCCATACAACATTTCGCATTTAAGGAACTTTTGTGGGTAACATAATATTCAAAATGTTGTTTTCCTTTAAATAAATGGATTCGCAATACATTTATTGTTTCGCGATAATGAATTCGCGCAAAAACATTCGCTGTAAAGGGTTCGGGATAAAAGTTTCGCTAAAATGCATATTCGCTCTTAGAATTCGTTAAGGTTTCGCGGAAATAAATTCGCGATAATGGCTTCGTGATATTGTCTTCGCTATAAATGTTTCGGGGAAAAAAAATTCGCGGAACTGGTTTCGCGATATTACCTTATCTATAAAAATCTTTCGCGGTAAACGACATATGCGATAAAAGTTTCGCGATAAATGTTTAGTAGAATTTACCTGGTATGAAATTTAAGTACTCGTCAGACAATAAATATTGGCCCAACCCAGATGCAATTTCGCCAGTAAGGATCAAGGTTAAACTATGAACTCAATGATTAATATATGAATTCCTTGTCGCACTTCTTAATAAGACTTCGAGGAAAAGCATAGGACAGGATAACAAGAAAGTTTTTTTCCAATAAAAAAAATTATAAACCAAATAGTTCATTAATATCATTATATAAATTTATTAAGGTTAAAGAAAATTAAAAATTCTATCATTGAATCAATATGATCATAGAATTAAATGTTTCAAAATAAAATAGTGAGTATTAGCAATTATCACGATAATGACCTTGACCTAATATCTTCGCGTGTGTTTCACAATAATGACTTTGCTCTAAAACGTTCGCAATAAAAGTTTTGCTGTAATGTATTTGTTTTAAAGGTCTCACTATCTCGCAATAAAAGTTTCGCTGAATTGACAACCAAAATTTTGCTACATTTTTTTTGAATTCAGGATAATATTTTATAAATATTTTTTGAAAATAAATTACATATGCTTATTTCTTACTTTAAGACTAATTAAAATATCAAATCTATAAAGAAAATAGTAAATTCACAAAAAAAAACAAGTTATAATGATCCCATTCCAATTTTAAATATACAAAACAATTTATTTTAAAAACGGTTGTTATAGAAATAAATCACCTTAAAATGGAGATATAAAAGCCTTAATTGACATTTGGAAAAAAATTAGATATATAGAAATATAAAATATGATGGCCGGAAACTATGTACAAAATAATTAATAGGCTGGGCTGAACTTTTAAAGTTTCAACAAGCCAGGCCTAATTTTTTGAAATATTTTATTGGGCTGGACTAAGCCAGGCCAGGAAATTAGCAAAAAAAATTTATTTGCCTCTGAGATGGGTTGTACAAACATTTAAATAACAGGCCATGATGGGCAACTTGTGCATGGGCTGGGCTGAACTTTTAAAGTTTCAACAGGCCAGGCCCAATTTTTTGAAATATTTTATTGGGCTGGACTAAGCCAGGCCAGGAAAAAAAAATTTATTGGGCTCTGAGATGGGTTGTACAAACATTTATAACAGGCCATGACAGGCAACTTGTGCAAACTTAATGATACAAAATGAATTAGGCTGCAGATCTTTAATTCTCATGAATAATATTGTACATCTTTGCTTTATATTTTAAATAACTATTGTGATCATGTTAAATATGAATTTTATAAACTATTCAAATCAAAAATAGCTTATTTATAAAAAATTTGCAGATCTTTAATTCTCATGAATAATATTGTACATCTCTACTTTATATTTTAAATAACTATTGTGGTCATGTTAAATATGAATTTTATAAACTATTCAAATCAAAAATAGCTTATTTATGAAAAATTCAAAGTTATATAAAATTTGAATGAGACATTCTATATATAAAATATAACAAATATTACTAGATTAAGGTTATATTTCAAAAAATGAATACTAGTTACTTTAATTGATAAATTGTGTATTTAAAACTTGTAAAAAGATTAATAATAAATAAATTATGCCAAATTTTAAAAACATTATTTATATATAAAATGATAATTTATTATACTTTTTAGAATAGTTGTAACAGTTCTGCAAGTTCTTCTATCTGTTTTATTAATTGATCTACCTTCTACATCACAATTAACTAAAAAAGAAGTGTAATCTGTAATACATGACTCGTTTTTTGGACTTTTACATTCATAACATTTTATTGAGTTAGCTATTTAAATATAAAATTACACTATTATATAAAATCCTTTAATATTTACTAGGTTTGGCAAAAATAAAGGTAATTAATATTATGAAAAATTTCATATCTTTAATCGATGATATTTTCAATCAGATGTAAATAAAGGTCACATGATGTTTTCGAATAATTTTCATAACTAGGCACAATCGGATAAAATTATTAACTGTGTCGAGCGATAAGGGAAGGCTAAAACTACTATTACGGAGATGCAAGGTCGTCATTGAATTGGAGGGGGTGGTATTATTTAAGATGCTATCATCATTTTAGAAAAATTGAAGAGATTGGGGGGGGGAGCAATATTTCTGATTTTGATTGGTATTTTTTGCTAATTTTGATTTTAATATTTAGGAAAATGACCGGAGAAAAGTTTTAAACCGCAAACTCTTATTTTAGACTTTTGACCGAGTCCCACCTATAAATTATTCGGATAATTATTTTTTGATTTTCCCCTTCCAAAATGCCCAATGCAATGGATATAATACTGGAATTGTTCATCTTTGAATTTCATTCTTAATCAGAACAAATCTGAATACTTAAACTGCTCTGAACTCAACAACTATAATTTTTAAATCTTTAATTAACATCAACTAATACATAGGACCTCCAGTTATAGATAACTCAGACGTTTGCATTTTTCTTTATTCAAAACTCTTTGTAAGTTAGGTAATAATTTCCTCTCTTAAATTGTTTTTATTTGAAAATCCTTTTTTAGTTGCATTTCTTATGCTCTTAGGAGTTAAGATTACCCCTATTTTTAAATATACTACAAAACCTTTAAAAGTATATGAAACTAGAACCATAGTAATTATTGAAGAACTCCTAATTCCTTAGTATCGAAAAATTGCATAGACTCAATGTGCTCTCCCAACATAATTTGGCCATCTTGGTAAGATCTCCTTCTGATTAAGCTTTAACTATTTTTATCTCAAGCTGCTGATTAACTAAACCTATAATTAACGTAAGAGCTCCGATACTCAAGACGACGACTTTGATTTTGAAAGAGGAAGAAACTGGTTGCAGTGGAAATAAAAGAAGCAAGAATATTCTCTTTTCATCATCATTCTAATAACCAGTGTACACATGACAGAATATTAATTGTAAATTACCCCCCCCCCTCAAAGACCTACACCTACCTCCCAACAAAATTTTTGCCACCTTCGGCAATGATATTTCTATATTATGAAATACATTACAATGGTACTACCTTCATATATTTTTAAATTATCAATACTCGTTACTAACTATAAAAAAAGTGAATGTAAAAGTGTTATTATTTAGAACATTAATAATTACAAAAATACTAATGCAATGAATGCATTATTATAGTTTATTATTTGCATGAATATGAGTTTGCTGATAGAATGCATAATTCTTTTAAATTATATTTAAAAAGATAGCAAAAAATTAGCCGGATTGCGTTTTATTTAAAAAAGGATGAATACGAAGGCGTGCCCTAATCCGGCCTTCGGCTGGGGGAAGTGTAGCTTGGGAATCACAAATGGCATGGAATCAGAAATAACATAGATTCACAAATAGTTTAGATTAAAGTGGCAATATATCGCAATAATTATATATCAAAATTTTTCTAAAAAAAAGGAAAATATAATATAAGTATGGGGCTGAGGAGGTAAATTTAAAAAAATACATTATTAATATATGTATCGCCATAATATTAATTAGTATATCTTTAGTATCTAATTCATTTGAGCAGGAACAATGTGAATTAAAAATTATAATTATTTAGCAACAATATTCAAAATAATAAGTATATCGCGCATCTGGACGAATATTTTTAGGGGAACCAATTTGGCTAGCTTTCTATAAAGTAGGATCCTTAAGAATAGACTTAGAAGATTATTTAAATATTAAATATATGTATTATTGTATTTGTATAATATTATTATATCCTTTTTATCTATTTTTATTAATTGTATAAAAATAATATGCAAGGTTTGTCGTTGTTTGCGCACAGAAACTCTTAGAGAGCACTAAATACGTAAATAACATTGTTTTTTCATCATTCAATTCAAACATCATATAAAAATATTTTAAAAAATTTTTATTTTCATCTTTATCGTTCTTTCGAACAAATTATAATAATAATTTTTTACAGCTTAAAATAATTTTGTGGATCATTGGTATTGTTTGAAAATATATTATAAAATGATCGAAATAATCTATTTTTTTAAAAAAGAATATCTGCTATAAACTTATTTAATAAAAAGAGAATGGTGATTTTTTATAAAAAAGAATACTCAAATATTCTTATTTTATTTATATACGAAAATAATTTTGCCTTATAAGATTTGGAAAGTAAAGAATCAAATTTTTTTTAATTAAAGAGGTTAAGAATGACATTACCATTTTGTTTCTAAAATAACCATCATTGTATCATCATAAAAACACTAAAAATAAATAAGTTCATTTATATAAAAACATTAATCAAAAATGTAAATCGCATGTGAATAATTTATTGGAACTTTCTCAAATACAAAAATAAACAATAATAATTTAACATTTTGATAAAATTATTGTATAATATTTTTCCCCTATTAAATTTATAGATATCAGTTCAAGATTGTGAAGAATTTTTTTCTCACGTAAAGGAATATATACTTGCTTAGCTATGACGCCAAAAAACAATATATAAATTTTTTCATATGATTGAATATTAATTGTTACACTATAAATTAATTTTTAAAATTATTTTATGATATATTTTGAAACAATACACCATTGATGCAAAAAATTATTACAAGCTAATTATTTAACTTTAATAGATATCCGCTGACATTTAATGAAATATTTATAAATTTAGTTTAAAAGATTTTATTTTTTATAAATGTTCATTTTGATTAAGAATTTGTTCGAAAGAACAATGAAGATAAGTGTATTGACATTTTATTATTATTTTTTTATATGATGCCGAATTGAATGATAACAAAGTATTAAAAAATGTTGTTTACGTATTTTGCGCTCTCATAATAATAAGAGTTTCAGTGCGAAAACAACAACAGACCTTGTATATCGCACTTGTTTTTTAAGGAATTAATATAAAATGTTATTATTATAGGTTTTTTTACAAAATAAAACATAACGAAAGAAAATTTACGATATATTAAATACAAAATAAAGATATATAAATATGATGAACTGGATAATAAGATATATTTGTTGAACAATAAAATATGATGATCTTAACATAATCGGATTTGATACTTTAGGTGACTTGAGCAATAAAATAGATAGGAATATTTTGGGATACCAATTGGCAAGCTTTAAAATAAAAAAATAGAATACTATCTGTCAAAATAGAATACTATCTAATGTCCTTTCGTCATATCAGATCGTAGTTGAATGGCAGTGTCAACAGTTACTAGCATAAGTCAGGACTAATCAGACGATCACATTGTTTGTGGTTCGTTTTATCCTTCGTCATATCATATTCTTTAGATTGTGAAAACAAATTCAAAATAGCTACATATAGCTGTATATATGAAAAGACAGGTTGAGGTAAGTTGATGGCAACTTTATTCAAAGTTTGTCATATCTCTAATAATTTTCATAAAGATAGCAAGAAAAACGGAAATAGCAGATGCTTGAAAGAAAATGGCAAGCAAGAGTCAGTTGCAATTAAACTTATTATGATTGAGAACCATAATGCTGAGCTAGGAATAAGAGAAAGAAGGGAAAAGGGGGAAAAAAGTCGAAAGGAGAAATAGGAAGAAAAGGGAGAAGTAAAAGTAATGAGAAAAGAAAAAGTGAAGTAGAAATAGAAAGAAAAAAAGGGAGTGAAAGGAATGGTGAAAGGAAAACAAAAATGGAAAGAAAAGTGGAGAGCGAAAGAAAAAGAATAAGAAAAAAAAGAGAAAGGGGAAAAATTGAGAGAAAGGAGAAATGCATGTAAAAGAAAAGGGGGACAAGATGGAAATAAAAGAATAAAGGAAAAGAGTAAGGAAGGTAAAAAAAAAAGGGGGAGGGGAAGGGGAAAGAAAAAGAATAGGAAAAGAAAAATGGAATGGGAAGGAAAAATAAAATGAGAAGGGAAGGTAAAGATATAAGAAAATGGAAAGAAAAATTTTCCCAGATAGTGGGCCGGGCTTTCGGACAGGCAATTTATTTGCATAAAGAAAAAGGGGAGAGGAAAAGGAAAAGCGAAGAATAAGAGGGAAAGGGAAAAAATACAAGCAAAAGGGAATGAAAAAAAAATAGGGAAAGGAAAAGAAAAGGGAAAGGGAGAAAAAAAGAAAATAGGTAGGAAAAGGAAAACGATAGGAAAAGTCATAAAAAAAGATAATGGAAAAGGAAGGTAAAGAAAAGGGTAAAAGAAAAAGGAGAGAAAAGGGAAAAGATTTACCTGTTTACTTACAGAGTATCCCATAAAATTATAACATCACCTATCTATTTGGAAATCATAACTATATATTTCTCCCGCATAAAGTTTAATAAAATTCAAAATACTTGAAATAATTTTATTAATTATTTAAGTAAAAATTAATAGTTCATAATATAGATTATGTGGCAATTGATACTATATGTTAAAAATTTTATCGTTGGTGATCAAACGTAAGTTATTAATTTATATATATATATTACTTAGTATAAATTAGAGGATATTGAATATGTTTAGAGGATATTGAATATGTTTAGAGGATATGGTAATGATTAAGCACAAGTTTAAATTATTTTTATTTCAATGCAATCACATACATAATGGAAATAAGACTATGATCATATGTTACATTTTTGAATTTTTTCTAACATGAATTCATTTAGAGAATTTTGAAATAAAGTAGATCACCTCAAAAGGAATAAATTTCCCTTAGTTGAACCTAAACCTTAATTCTATTCATCATGTTGTTAAAAATACATCTGCATTAGGCTGTGTCCAAAATCTAAAAATATAAATAAATGAGGAAAAAAATACCATAAGCTATTTTTAATGCAAAAATAAAATAGTGATCTAAATCATTTTTCATCAGGTCTGTGTCCAAAATCTAAAAAATATAAATAAATAAATTTTGAAGAAAAAAATAACATAAGCTATTTTTAATGTAAAAATAAAAAAGTGCCATATATCATTTTTCGTCATTTATAAAAATTAAATTTTTTTAAAAAAATAATAAAAATTAATAAATTCAAATAAAAATTTATTTATTGGGAAATTTTTATGAAAAAATTAATAAGTATTATTAGTTTATATATTTCAAAGAAATATAAAAATAAATAGGAAGGAATTATGAAGATCTTAGTTGTTAGTATGTAATATTAAGATAAAAAGATTCATTTACCAATTAAATTTTAATAAAACCTTAATATCCATTTTTATAAATTTACTAACTCAAAAAATTATAGCCATTTATATTATAAATATATTTTTTAGTGTCAGAAAATAGTTTTATGGAATACATAAGAATGCACAGGAACTTCCCTTGCAAAAATGATTTAAAATTCAGAGATTTTGTAGAAAATCGGAAAATTTGGGAGGAAATCGAAAACATATATCCAATATATATTCCAAATATCTATGCCCATTTCTATGTTCAGCCCTATCTTCAAATATTATATAATAAATAACTAATAATTGAATCATATCAAGCATTTTGTATATTTTAATTTTTATAAAACTTGGATGTGTCCAAAATGTTTTGTTATTAATTTGAAAAAATTTATAAATTTTAAGGATTTTTTCAAAACATTTTAGACACAGCCTCATCTATAAAAATTTATTTTTTTAAAAAAATAATATTAAATTAATAAATTTGAATAAAATTTTTTATAAATTCATTTATTTTGATAATTTTTATGATAATAATAAGTAATATTAATGTTATTTTTCGTATTTTATTCTCATTTTTTGGATATGTTTTTTTTCGTTTTTTTTGTAAAAAAAACAATCTAAGATTCCGGACATGTTTTATTTGCTAAAATTTATAAATTTTGGGTTTTATTTTAAAACATTTTGGCAACTAATTTATTTCGATTGTTCTTTTCAAAAAATGGAAATGTTACTATGATTCCCTCAACAAAAAAAATAATAGCTATGGAAATTCAAAATCTATATCAATGATGTTATAAAGGCACTTATAATTATGTAAGCAAAATATAATTTTTAATGTAAATCATATATAAATAAATAATATATATTAAGATAATATAATTGTTGCATTATTCAAATATTATTATTTATTACTATATAATTTTTAGTATTTGTCATAATCTAATTTTATTTTATAAACGGCGTAACCTTACTTTTTTATATTATTTTACTTTTTTGTATTTCGTTTTATATTCTAATTTATATTTTAGAAAATGTATTTATACCTTAAGAAAAGAAAAAGAAATTAGTTAATAAAATATATTTTTACTGACTCGAACCTCGCGCAATATCGTTAAGAACCTTATTCTTTTCATGGTGCCCTCTGGGTGGTGGACTAGAAAAAGATGACTACCTATTATGACTCTACCTTGTGCTTAACCTATGGAGATGACTACCTATTATGACTCTACCTTGTGCTTAACCTATGGAGATGACTACCTATTATGACTACCTTATCTATTGTGACTACCTAATCTACTGAGATGACTATCTAACCTATGGAGACTGCTTAACCTATGGAGATGACTACCTATTATTACCTTATTTATTGTGACTGCCTAATCTATTGATATGACCAATGTCTAATCTATGGAGATGACCAAGAATCAAACCTTAGCACGTTCTTTCATGCAAAAAGCTTCTTTCTTCATGGTGTCCCGGCTCTGGATGTTGGACTGGAATATAATAGCCAGCACCTAACCTAATGTGGCAACCTAGAAAGAACCTTAATGAAAGTTGGACGTTAGGTTATGAATTCTATATTGTGAGACCAATGATGATTACTTATTATTCTAATTCACGTAAGAAGAAAAGTTATTATATTAAGATTTTATGCCAGGATAAAGGCATGTTATAAATTTTTAAAATCATTAAAATGTAAAATCATAATAGATATTTGAACACACAAAAAGCCTTTAAAAATTATTTATAATTTCTTAGTGAAATATTGATACTAAAATGTAAAATCATAATGGATATAGACCACACAAAAAGCCTTTAAAAAAATTATTTACTTAAATTATAGTGAAATATTGATATTTTTTTGATTTCTTGAATGATGACCAATTGTTGTAAATTAACTAAACCTAAAGATGAAATGATGACCAATTGTTGTAAATTAACAAACCTAAAGATGAATTCTTAGATATAATTAAAAATAAACCATTAAAAATCCTTAACAAGAAGATAAAATTTTAATTTTAAATATATTAAAATGTAATTAAAACATATGAATTAAAAGGGATTGATTCTTATAAGTAATACTTAATATGATAAAAATGTTTTTGAAATAAAGCTTTTGAAGACAAAAAGTTATGTAAAAATTAAACATCATTATTTTAGAAAAATATTGTGTGAAATTTAAATTTTTTTAAGAGAGGGAAATGTGCATAATATTTGCATATTTTAACCTCGGAGATTGAAAATAATTAAAAATAAATTAAATATTAAAACGCTACTAATTAAATATTAAAACTCTACTTATAAAAAAATGTAAAACGCAAAAAATATAAAACGCATAAAACGCTAAAAGTATAAAACGCTAAAAGTATAAAACGCTATGATTAACTTAACACCTAAAAAATAATATAATAATTTATCGTTCCTTATTCTGGATTAAAATTTTATTTCTTATTCCATAAATTATCATTCCTTATTACATATTTTATTGTTCCAAAATTCAAAATTTTATTCGTGCATATTATTCATACATTTGATTTGATCAACTATTCCAAATTATATATTCCGATTTATTCCAAATTCTAATATTCGACTGGATTAATTATAAAAAATGATAATAACAATTGAGCACTATCAAACAAGCTATGATTAATGGAGATAATTTACGATATGTATATCAAGATTGTGATTAAACAAACCAAAGTGCAAAATCGAATTAATCAAACCAACGATTGGGACAAGCCAAAATGATAAACCACTTGGACAACAAACTCTCATGACTTCTCCGATGAAATTATCAGAAGAGGGAGAATGTTGCATTATTCAAATATTATTATTTATTACTATAAAATTTTTAGTATTTGTCATAATCTAATTTTATTTTATAAACGGCGTAACCTTACTTTTTTATATTATTTTACTTTTTTGTATTTCGTTTTATATTCTAATTTATATTTTAGAAAATGTATTTATACCTTAAGAAAAGAAAAAGAAATTAGTTAATAAAATATATTTTTACTGACTCGAACCTCGCGCAATATCGTTAGTCTCCTTATTCTTTGCAATAATAATTAGTTATACTGTAACAATATTTAATGTCTTGCATTGTTCAAGAAATTTAGGTTCAATCAACTAGTTTTGGTCTTTTTTACAATTGTTTATCTAATTATTTATGTCAAAAAGTATAAGATAAATTATACCATTTAATATTATGTTAGAAATTGATAAATTAAAATATATCATGTTTTATATTCTTAAGTTTATACATATTAATTTGAATAATAAATATATAAATTAAACAAATTTTATTAAATTTAATATATTATTAATATAATAGCTAAAATCTGGAATGATAAGGGTCGAAAATACAGATATCTAAATAAAATTTAGAGAATAAAAATGATAATAAAATGTACTATCATACCAAGTGATGTACTTAATGGTTGTATGTGTTCATTATATAAGCAAAGCAGAGAAATAGAAGATTATTATTCAGATGATTCTTGGATTTGTATAAAGGCATTTGCAGGTATGGTACTAAATATGAGATATGTGTAAAAAAAACTTATATTATTTTAATTAAACTTTTGAGAAAATATTCATTGGTTTTTTAAAATTAAATAGGACTTGTTAACTTTTAAAGAATGATTATAAATCAAAGCCCCTTTCACTTTAAAAAGAATATATAGAAATTTTACTCATTTTAAAAAATATAAACTAACCATACAACATATATTTATTCTCGTTCTTATATATATAAATCATATTCCTATTCATGATTTTAGTGGTGATGTCTAAATTTGCATCTAATGTATAAATAAATATTAACCATTTATATACAGATGATTTTGTGAATGACATAGCGAAAACATCGGAAAATTATAATATAGACCAAATTATGCAATATATAAATTTGGTCTATATTTAGTACAATATTTTTAGTTTTCCGATTGTATACATTATGTTATACTACGTCATGTCATCGCTACGTCATGTCATCGCTACGTCATGTCATCGCTACGTCATGTCATCGCTACGTCATGTCATCGATACGTCATGTCATCGCATAATATTTATTTATATATTTTTAATAATTGTTTTTAACGTAAATAAAATTTTTAAAAAAACTGGATAAAAAAATACAAGTATATACTTGTTTTTTTAAGTATAATTTTTTTTAAAAAAAAACTGGACAAAAAAAACTGGATAAAAAAATACAAGTATATACCTGTTTTTTTAAGTATAATTTTTAAAAAAAAAAACTGGATAAAAAAAGGTTATATAGCAAAATAAACCAACAAAAAAATATACTCTAACCCACATTTTCAGTCATGATATTCAAAAGTATATGATATTCAAAAGTATTCAAGTTTTTTAGATTAATCATCCATTTTTCTTCTTTATTAATAATATATATTTATTTTTCTCGAATTAATAGCTTAGATATACAAAAGTTTAATAGAACAAATGGGTCACACATAAAATTTTAATTACAATGTTATATGCAGATTTGAATTAAAATATATTATGTTCAAGTAAAATTAGAACTAATAGGTCACACATGAAATTTTAATTATAGTGTTGTGCAGATTTGAAGTAAATTATAATAAATATTATACTAAAAATTATAAATGTTATTTTTATACTTTCTTACAATTTAGATTACATCTGTTTGATTGCTAGAGAGTTGAACCTAATATTGACTCCTCTAGACGTTCAGTGCATTATTACTTTTTATATTTTTATTTTAGAAAGATACTGTTTTAACCCCACTTATTAATTGTACAAATTTTGATTTATCTGTCGTTGCTAAACAAAGAAACAGATGGTTGCAATTATCACGAAACCCAACAAATCTACCAACTATACAAAATAAAGTTAGTCAACACTCTTTTTTTTCTTTTCCTTCTTATTCCTCTTCCTTCTTTTTCCCTTCCCTTTTCTTTTCCTTTTTGTTTAACATTTACTTTTATCTTTTCCTTTTCTTTCCCTTTCCCCCTTTCTTTCTTTCTCCTTTATCCTTACCTTTTCTTTCCCTTCCCTTTCAATTTTACCCTTTTCCTTTGCCATTTTATTTCCCTTTTTTCATTTTTCTTTCCCCTTCTTCTTTTCTTTCCCTATCCGTTCTCTTTCCCATTTCCTTTACCGTTTTCTTTCCCTATTCTTTTTTCTGTTTTACCTAATCGTTTTTATCTTTATTTTTGTCTTTTTTTTCTTCTTTTCTTTACCTTTCCCCTTTTCTTTTTCTTCATTCTCCTTTTCGTTGTCCTTTTTCTTTTCCTTCTCTTTTCGTTTTCCTATTTTCCTTCTCGTTCCCCTATCTTTACCTTTTATGTTTCCTTTCTCTTTCCTTTTTAATTTTCTTTCCATATTTCATTTTCTTTCTATATTCCTTCCTTACCATTTTAATTTCTCGCTTATTATCTTCTCCCTTCTTTTCTCTTTTCCTTTCCCTTTCTTTTTTCCTTTCCATATCATTTTTCTTTCCATTTACCTTTTTTCATTTCTTCTTTTCTTTTATTTCCCTTTTACTTTTCTCTTTACATTACATATTTCTTTCCCTTTTTCTTTTCCTTTCGCTTCGCCTTTCCCCTTTTCTTCTTTCCTTTTCTTTTCCTTACTCCCTATTTTTCCTTTACATTTTTCTTTACCTTTCCATTTTAATTTCCTTTCCATATTTCTTTCTCTTTTCTATCTTTTTCCTTTTAATTTCTCTTATTACTTTCCCCTTTCTTCTCTTTTCCTTCTTTTTCCTTTTAATTTCTCTTATTACTTTCCCCTTTCTTCTCTTTTCCTTTTCCTTTCCCTTCACTTTTCTCTTTTCCTAAATTTCCTTTTTAATCTTCTTTATTACCTTCCTCTTTCTTCTCTTATCCTTTTCTTTCCCTTTACCCTCTACTCTTTTTAATTTTCTTTCCATATTCCTTTTCCATTCTATATTTTTTTCCTTTCCATATTTTTTTCCTTTCCATATTTTTTTCCTTTCCATATTTTTTTCCTTTCCATATTTTTTTCCTTTCCATATTTTTTTCCTTTCCATATTTTTTTCCTTTCCATATTTTTTTCCTTTCCATATTTTTTTCCTTTCCATATTTTTTTCCTTTCCATATTTTTTTCCTTTCCATATTTTTTTCCTTTCCATATTTTTTTCCTTTCCATATTTTTTTCCTTTCCATATTTTTTTCCTTTCCATATTTTTTTCCTTTCCATATTCCTTTTCCTTTCCATTCTTTTTACTTTCCATACTCATTTCCCTTTTCATTTCTCCTTTATAACCTTCCCCTTTCTTCTCTTTTCCTTTCTTTTCCATTTCATTTTTCCTTTTTCTTTCCCTTTTCCTTTTTCTTTCACTTTACTTTTTTTCTTTTTCTTTACCCTTTTCTTCCCCTTTTTCATTCCCTTTTCCTGTTACCTTGCTCTTTTCTTTTACATATTCCCTTCTTTCACTTTTTTTTCTCCTTTTTTTCTTTACCTTTCCCTTCTGATTTTTTCCTCTTGCCCTTAAAAATTGTAAATCTCGCTTTATCTTATAAAATTTTTAAAGCAAATTGGAAATATATTAATAGATGCTAGGAATTAAGCACTCGTATTCAAATTAAGTACCTATTTCCCTCATTTTTAACGATTTTTTGAAAAACTCAATTTAAATACAATAATTTACTTCCTTAGCATCCAATAATATTAATTTTAAATTTACTAAAATTCTAGGATATATAAGCAAAATTCCAAATTTTTTCTATGTTTTTAGCTATTTGGAAAGGAACCCCCTTTCGGCCCTTCATTTCTGTCACTTTTCCCTTTCTTTCCTTCTTTCCCTTTCCATTTATCTTTCTAATTTCGCTTTTCTTTTATATTTTCCTTCTCCTATTTTCCCCATTTTCATTGCCCTATTTTTTTCCACCTTCCTTCTTTCCCATTTTATTTCCCATCCCCCCCTTCTTCCCCTTTTCTTTTCCCTTTTTTTATTTCTTTCCCTTATCCTCTCCCCTTTCCTTTCCTTTACTCTTTAATTTTCCTTTTCCTTTTCGTCCCCTTTTCTTACTCTTTCCCTTCTCCTTTCATTTTTTCATCCCCTTTTTCATTCACTTCTTTCCTGATCCTTTTTCTTTTCCTTCTCATTTTTCTTTTCCTTCTCATTTTTCGTTCTTTTTTCTCTCTATTTTTTTCCTTTATCTTTCTTTTTTTCTTTCTCTTTCCTATTTCTTTCTCTTTCCTATTTCCTCCCTCCCTCTTTCTTTTTTCGTTCCCCTTTCCTTTCTCCTTTTCTCTCCATTTACCTTTCCCTTTTTTTCCCCCTTATCTTTTTCTTTTCCCATTCCTTTCCCTTTCCCATTCTTTTCACTTCTCCTGTTTATTTCTATTTCTTTTCTTTCTATTTCTATTTCCTTTCCTTCTTTCCTTTTCTTTCCTTCCTCTTTCCCTTTTCCTTTCCTTTCTTTTCCTTTTCTTTCCTTCTTTTCCCTTTCTTCCTTCCTATCTCGTCATTAGAGTTTTCATGCTAAGAACTAACTGATCATTGCAATAAAAATATTCTATGACTAGTCTTTTAAATATACATGTTAAACAATATGACTTAGCATGAAGAATTATTTTTTATTATTTTTTGACAAAATTATTTAATTTGTGTTATTCATATAAGAATAAAATATAGGGTAATCACCCGTTAAAAGTCCGATCAAAAAGGCAAAAGTTCGATTGTCGTGTCATTTAAAAAAGGTAAATTCACATTTAAAAACGGAAAATCGTTATTTTTTTAAATATTTTTTAAAAAAATCTATTCTTAAGGATCCTACCTTGTAGAAAGCTTTCCAAAATGGTTCTCCTCAATATTCGTTTGTATTCGTGTATATAATTATTATATTTCATAGTGTTAGTTAATATTTGTATAATTTTTATTTCTCATTGTTCCTGTTCAATAAAATTAGGTACTGAAAATAAACGCATTTATATATGGCAATACATAAATTAATATTATTTTTTTTAATATACCGTCCCATACCTACATGATATTTTTGTTCAAACAAATATATCTCACGATTTGTGATTCATCGCTTTGTTATTCACCACTATTTGTGATTCATAGTCATTCCTGATTCCTCGTCATTTGTTATTCTCAGGCCATACTTCCCCCGGTCGAAATCGGAATAGGGCGCAGCCCTAGTTATTAAAATAGGTCTATAATAAATGTATTAAATAATTTTTTACAGCAATATTTTAGCCCTATTTAATCAAAAAATTTAATATTTAACATCTCTTGCCAACTCGCTACCCCCCTTAAAGAATTTGTAACAAATACCCCCCCCCCCGCTCATGTAGACTCTATCGCGATTCCTAAAACCATAGTCTCTTATGGAGTTCCAGCTTTCATAATCGAGGGATTTAAAAGATGATAGTCATACGATGTCATATATTAGCAATAAAAAAGTGCTATTTTTTTTATTGCTCATACGCCATAACGAATCGATAAAATGGACAGATATTTGGATAAAATCTTGCCTCAAAAATTTATTTTCAAAGAAAGAAAATGAAGTCCAGGCAAAATTATTTATATTTTTAACATATAAACTAAATTTTTAGCAATTATCATCAGATATTAAACACAATTAATAATCTCCAGGCTTAATTCAAGCAATGCTGATATAAATATTTTAAAACTGACATCAGAACATGGTGATCACAAACAATGCTGCTGACGAAATTTATTTTTTATAATATATCATTAATTCCCACATTATTTGTAAAAATAATCATTGTAGTATAATATTTTATCTTGTAAAATAATTGATGATAATTTCTAGCCCTATTTAATATGTTCTTAATATACTTATTTTATTCAAGTTTTTATAGATAAAAATATAATTCCTATATCTTTTGTACTATGACCAATTAGAACTGTACCTATAAAATATTGTTTAATCCATTGGTTCATTGTTGTTTTTCAGATCATTGTATCTTATCTGTCCTGAAATTTGTTTTTTTTATCAATCTGTAAATTTAGGCTAATTTTTTAAGAAAATGATGAGCATTAATTGTTATTTTGTGTATCTGTTAAAATATAATGTATCAGATGCTAACATGATTATTGGTTCATCTCAGTCAACATAATTGCAAGTAGAGGTGGGCGCGGGCCTAATTTTTTATTCACGGCCCGCCCACTCACGGTGGTAATAAAAAAATATCACGTCCATTCACGCTTAACACTAAAAAAATTTTCGACCAGCCTGCTCACGACAAGCAATATTTTGATTCACGCCCGTCACGCCCGAAAATTCACGGTGTTTTTAAATTTTTCAAAACTATTGCTATAATTTTACCCTTTTTTGAATTCATTCTATTTATTTCTCTAATTTTATAATCCATATTAATAACAAAAAATAAATACAATCTATAAATCGAAATTTATTTGGAAAAAGAAGAATGTCCATCTTTTTTTATTTCAATTGTGTACGCCTTTCCTCTAGTATGAGAATAGCTACAGAAAATAACCTTTCACTAGACGCCGAACTTGCAGCTGATAAATTTTACAATTTTCTCAAAAAAGGAAATGAATATTCCTGCTTCCAAAACTTCAAAATATTGTCTTGTTATTTATCTTATAGAATCTTTTAAGTTCATCCTCACAGCTTTCATCGGTGATGTTGATGCTTCATCAGAATCATCTAGAAATATAAGGTCTTTATGAGTGTAGGATGAATTAGGAAAGTGATAGTTGGTATTGATCATTAGAATATACGGTTTTGTTAGGAAAGTTATAAATGGTAGTTGGCATCGACTTATGCATATCATCTAATTTTATATCATTTAGCATTTTTAAGATTGTTTTAAATATATCATTTTCTTCTTTTATTAAAAACTTAAGTCTTTTGAAATTCTGATCTAGAATTAAGCCTACCTTATGTAGTGGCTGTATAATAATCTTTTAAAATAAATCTTGTTCTGTATTTTAAGGTTTTGATTATTATTGTATCACGCTTAGAAGGTTAACAAAATTTTATTAATTTTTGTTTCCATAGACAAACTTTATTTATTGTGGGACGAGAATCTGCTCTCAGATTATCCGAGCATTCTTTAAATATTGATAAAAATTTATCTAACTCGCGTATGATGCTGATATCAATTGTGGCTAATCTATTTAATTCTTGCTTGCTAAACAAGTACACCTGTATTTCAGAATATGATTTTAAGAAACTCTGTATCATGATATATACAGAGTTCCATCTCGTTATTCTCGCTATTACATATTGTTTAAGGGTGTGGCTTAGTTTGCTATTAGCTGTGTTTGAAATATTGTACTATTTTTTTTACACCATTTATATTTAAGGCTATTTCAGTTAAACAATTGTCAAAAATATAATGAATAATATTATTTAATATATTGCTACATGCTAGCGTTTCGTCATCTTTGAATGCACTTATAAGATTTGCTCCGTTATCACTCACAACTATATATTTATTTAAGTAATTTTCTACTTCTGTATATTCTCCTAAATTGAATTGACTACACTTTAATTTTGACGTTTTTTCCATCAATTGCCCTTGTGGCCAAAACAAATGTTTTTAATTAAAATCCTTAATGATAATATGTCCTATAATGGTTAAAAACTTAGATTTTTATAGTCATCCGTCCAAATATCAGTGATTATGGACAATGATCATGCTTTTAATCTTAAATTTTATGGTATATTTTTGGACCTATAGTATTCATGAGAGTTTTCCGGTTCACAACTTTTATATTTTGTTATCTGAAATAAGCTATTCAAATTAATTTTTTTTTAAAATATTTTATTATTATTCTATATCTAAAAGAACTAAAAATAATATATCAGTATATATATATAAAAGTTAATTGAAAAATATATAATATAACAAATGTTTACAATCACGTTTAGTGAATAATAAGTATATTAAAAATAACCAAAGTCGACTATGGTAATTGAAATAGTTAAATTATATCAAACATATCAATTAATAATATAAGATTAACTATTTAAATTTAAGATTAATTATTTAAATTTATTTAAATATATGATCAATCAACATTCCCCCTCTTCTACAAAGAACAAAGCTTCTTCTCAGCAGTCATCGAGAGCTTGTTGTCCTAGAAGTTTTTTCCCGTTTCGATTGTACTCGGTTTTATCTTGGTTAGCGCGTAAGTCTCAAATGTTCTCGTAGGCTTGACTCTATCACGTAGGTTTGATAAAATCTTTATTAGAGTCGCGTGAGTTTGTACGTTTTTTGTAGGCTTGAATCAATCGCGTAGGTTTGATAAAATCGTTGAACGTTATCGTTGGCTTGATATCCTTATCGTATGTTGTTCACATTTCTCAAAATTGTTATTATCATGTTTCATAATTAATCCAGTCGAATATTGGAATTTGGAATAAATCGGAATATGTAATTTGGAATAGTTGATCAAATCAAATATATGAATAATATGCACGAATAAAATTTTGAATTTCGGAACAATAAAATATGTAATAAGTTATGATAATTTATGGAATAAGGAATAAAATTTTAATCCAGAATAAGGAATGATAAATCATAATGATTATTATATTATTTTTTAGGTGTTAAGTTAATCATAGCGTTTTATACTTTTAGCGTTTTATGCGTTTTATGCGTTTTATATTTTTAGCGTTTTATATTTTTTGCGTTTTATATTTTTTGCGTTTTACATTTTTTGCGTTTTACATTTTTTTAGCGTTTCATAAGCGTTTAATTTTTAAATTTTAAGCACGTAATCTTTTAAGTAATCAGGTTTATTAATTCTTATTGGTCTAGTAATTGGTATCTTAATCTCATTCTTCGTGTCCACACTTCCCCCCTTAGAGGAATTCTTAGGGTCAATTTCATAATATTTTAAACTGTTGTAACATTCTCTTTTCCTTAACTGATCAAGATGCCTTCTTACTATCCCTCAGTATAAACTTGGAACATGGTGTTACTCTCTTTAAGCTTGATGCTGCCTTTGCACCACGTATCATCACCCTGTTTCTTATACCAAACTTAGTCTCCTCTATTAAAAGTTCGATTTCGTGGTAACGATATGTTGACTTCATCAACTTTATCCTCCAAAGGTTTTAATAAATCTCACTTTATTCTAATGTCGCGGTTAAACATTCTCTTGGACGGTGTAACTCCCGTAGTGTCATTCGGCGTGTTTCTATAGTTGAACAAAAATCTGTCCAGCGAAGTTTCTAAGTCAATCTTTATGTTTCTTTTCATGTGAGCTTTAAATGTTCTCACCATACGTTCAGCTTGTCCATTAGATTGCTGATGGTAGGCCGACGTTAGTACATGTTTTATACCATAATTGCTGCAAAATTTTTCAAAATCTTTGCTCGTGAAATTGGTATCATTATCTGTAACAATGGTTTCAGGTATACCAAATAGTGAAATAGTTTTATAAATTTCCTTTAACGTGAATTCAGTCGTAATACTCTTTACCGGAACTATAACCGGAAATTTACTGTAAGCATCAACGATTATCAACCAATTCTTTGTAAAAAATGGACCCGCATAATCTATGTGTATCCTTTCAAATAATTTAGTTGCTGCTACCCATGGATTTTGTATTTTCTTTGGATTGTCATGATAACTATTACAATCATTGACTTCCAAATCAATGTCGTTGACCATACCAGATCACCACATACGATCTTTGGCTAAGGATTTAATTTTACCTGCTCCCAAATGACCTTCGTGTAACGCCTTCAGTATGTTATTTCTCAGACTTGATGGAATTATTATTTTGTCGCTTTTGTACAGACAATCTTTAATGATACTTAGTTCGTATTCAATATTTTCATAAATTTTATTTTGGATAGGCACATTATCTTATGTCACTCATAACTTGAGATAGTTCAAAATCTTTGGATGTTTGATCGCGTATTTGGTCAAAACTCAGAGGTATATCGCCAAAGTCATTTATAATCGCGATATCATCAATAGCGTCATCCACACCTACTTGTGGTAATCTCGAGAGGCAATCAGGAACAACATTATATTTGCCAGCTTTAAACTTGATGTTAAAGTCGTAACCCCCCAAAATTATATTCCACTTTTGTAATCTTAAGGACATGGTACTATTATCTTTCAGTCCTTTGGTAAAAATATGGATTAATGGCTTATGGTCGGTTATAATAGTAAACTTGGTCCCTATCAAGTATTCTTGGAATCTCTTGATTGCAAACACAATGGCCAGAGCTTCACGCTCAATATTGGTATAATTTATCTCGGACTTTGCTAACGTTCTCGAGGCAAAAGCTATGCTTTTCTTTGCCATCTTTTTCGGTGTGAAACAAAACAGCTCCTAAACCTCTTTTAGATGCATCAGTCGCAATTCCGATGGGTAATTCAGGATTAAAGTACGTCAAAGCTGGAGATAGAATAATCAATGTCTTTAGATCATCAAAACTTCTACTCCCATTTTTCTTTGTTGACAATCTTGTATAAAGGATCAGCTATTTCAGCGAAGTTGTTCAAATATTTTCTGTAGTAACCGGCCATACCTAGAAACGTTGATAATTCCGCGGCTGATTTTGGTTCCGGCATTTTAACGATCGCCTCGATCTTGTCATGGTTGGCGTGGATCCCATTGGCGTCGATGTCGTGTCCTAAGAACCTTAGACTTTTTTTGAAAAATAAGCTTTTTGCAAAATTAGGCACTAAGCCATGAGATAGTATTCTTTTAAAAACCTTCTTTATGTTGTTGAAATGAACATCGTCACTACTTCCCGTTATTAGTAGATCATCAATATAAAATACGACATCTTTCATGTCACTGAAATTTTGATCCATAATTTGTTGAAAAATCGCAGATGAAGTCTTTAACCCAAAAGGAAGTCTGGTAAACCGGTAGTACCCCCTGTGTGTAGATATAGTTAATATGTCTCTGCAGGTTTTGTCGATGGGTAGAAACGCATCCTTGAAATCTATCTTGGTGAACTTCTTCCCTTCCTCGCTGTCTACAAGGATAATGGTAGCGTTAGGGTTTGCGCCGACTTCAAAGACACTGTCAACCCAGCCCTTGAGGACTTCAGATACCCACTTCCAAGAATAAACGATCTTATCGCTATTGCCCATCGGACATCTGTTACCGGCTCAATGACTCCATCTCCTATCCATCTCGTAAATTCTCTAGTGACAGCGTCTATCTTTGAATAAGGTAACCGTTTAGGTGGTATGATTTTCGGTTTGGCGTCATTACGTAGATATATCTTGACATTCCCTTTGTTGATCGGTTTTTTAGTCAGTTTAGATTCGCAATCTTTTATTAATTTCTTTATTTCATCTTCATAGTTGGTATCAATGTTTGCTATAAATTTGTTCAAAATATTACTAAAGGCATTAATCCACATACGTCCCAATAACGCATTTTTATTAGATTTAACGACCACGGCATGCAAGTGTTTGGTGATACCTTCGCAGGTTACTTTAACATGAGTGACGCCAATAATTTTAATTAAGTTTCCATCATAAGCTGTGAGTTGTAGAGTGGACTTTTTAAGATCTTTAATACCTATTTGTTTAGCCATATCATGAGGTATAATTGTGAATTTAGATCCAGTATCGACTTGCATTGTAACGGTAACATCGTTTATTTTTAAGGAAGCCATGAATGCATTGTCATTGAGTTTATGCTCTGTTAAATTGTTGATATTAAAATCACTATCATTATTATTTTGTGTAACATCATTTTTATTTTCCACAATCTCTTCAATATTCTTATTGCAATTGTTGCTATTACTTTGGCTCTGATCATGATATTGTATTTGTTTTCTTAGATTATAGTTTTTCCATGTATTGTTTCCACCATCTCTATTATTGTTATGCCAGGCATTATTTCTATCATAATTGTTTGAATTGCTATTATCGTGCCACCTGAAGTTTCTTCCGTTATAGTTTGAATTGTTGTTGTTTTGCCAGGCATTGTTTCTATCATAATTGTTTGCATTATTGTTATTGTGCCACATAGAGTTTCTTCCGTAATAGTTTGAATTGTTGTTGTTTTGCCAAGTACCTCTACCATAATTGTTTGAATTGTTATTGTAATCTTGCCGAGTGTTGTTCCTACCGTAATTGTTTGAATTATAGTTAAAATTTTGCCGAGCGTTGTTCCTACCAAAATTGTTTGAATTGTAGTTGTTTGAAGATTGATTATTACTAAAATTTCTAGAGTGACCCTCGTTATTTTGGAAATTACTGTTTTGGTAGTTTCTGCTATTTATATCACTTGGCCTAAAATTATTAAGATTCCCCTTACTATTAAAAGTTTTAGAATCATTTTTTAAATCTATAAAATTTTTGTTTTTATCTATATAATTTGTATCGCTAATCTCCGGCTTGATATTACTGCCATCTAACTCAACTCCTAATTTCATCATCTTATCTAAGCCTTCGTGCTTATGTTTATTTAACTTCCTTCTGATATTATCATTTAAAGAACAAGTTATTAATTTCTCAATCATTCTCGTATCGTTATCAAAATCGCAGTTTTTATGAAGTTTTGAAATCCTAAAATAAAAAGTATGGAAGGACTCCTCGGCACCTTGTACCGCTAAGTTAAAGTTCTTTATATTTACATTCATGTCCTCACTTGGAATTATTAGTTTCAATTTACCAAAAACAATATTAAAGTCTTTTAACTGTGCTTTAGAACATATCGACGTAACTTGGTCTACAATCTCAATTGGTAAGCCACATAGTAGTGTCCTAACTTTAGATGAGTCTGACCCAATATGTCCTTCAAAATAAGTTTCAATTAAGTTAATGTAAGTTTCCGACAATTTCCCTGATAACACGGGAAATTTAGGAACATATTGAGTCTGTGCAAGAATTAATTTATCATCCATGTTAAAATTTTATTTAAATAAGGTAAACTTTCAATTTTTAAAATCGTAAAGCAAAATATGCATGTAGTCCATTAAATTCAAATTTGAGTTGTATACAAAATTTTAATTTTAATCAAGAGAATGTGGTCCATTAAGTTTCAATATAGTTTGTCTATAAAAATTTTAATTCAAATTCGTAAAGAGGATTTAGTCCACTAAGTTTCAATATAATTTGTCTATAAAAATTTTAATTCAAATTCGTAAAGAGGATTTAGTCCACTAAGTTTCAATATAATTTGTCTGTGAAAAATTTAATTCTAATTTATAAAGAGGATTTAGTCCACTAAGTTTTAATTTGAATTATCTATAAATATCTAGACTTGACTCGTCACAAAGAATTTCATACTACTTTAAGTTATGAAGGAAAATTAAAAAATTTTTATTAATATTCTATAGACTGTCTGTTAAGCATCGCGTAAATTTTTATTTAATAACGTAACATAGGGAAAATTTTCTATACCCTATAAATGTAGTATGTCAAATATATAAAGCGTATAATGTTTGCAAAGATATTTAAGATTTAACATTTAATTTCTAATATTCCGTAATTGCACAAAATATAAAAATGAATTTATTTTCATCAAAAACGTAAGGCTTTCCATTAAGAGACATATAAGTATTGATCATCTCTCGGAGGGTTTTAAAGTAAAAGTGAATTTCATTCGTCCTGTTATTTAGGACATAAGAGAATCTACTGCATCCTCCCATTTCCCTCAACATCTTATCAATAATTATGCAGTGCGGTATGTTAAAAGCTTTGAAACAAAACATCCTAACGTAGAAATTGAAAGATTTTGATGAAAAACTATTTTTTATCATATTACTCTTTTATTTATATATATATATTTTATTTTATTTTTTTTTTTACCTTTTATAATTTTGTAAATTTGGATAAAATTTTGACTATCGAAAAGAAAAGTCAAAAAATTTTATTTGTCCTTTTATCATCTCCAATATCGAACGACGAATTTGATATTTTAATTTTTTAAACTTTTATTATATACTTTTTTTTTTAAAAAAAGATTAAACGAAAAAACGTACCACCGTAACCGGGGCACCATGAAGTAAGCTATTCAAATTAATTATTTTTTAAAATATTTTATTATTATTCTATATCTAAAAGAACTAAAAATATATCAGTATATATATTTAAAAGTTAATTGAAAAATATATAATATAACAAATGTTTACAATCACGTTTAGTGAATAATAAGTAAATTAAAAATAACCAAAGTCGACTATGGTAATTGAAATAGTTAAATTATATCAAACATATCAATTAATAATATAAGATTAACTATTTAAATTTAAGATTAATTATTTAAATTTATTTAAATATATGATCAATCAACATTATCCATATGTAACACCAACATTTATCTCTTGGCCTAGCTTGTAAAATCCTTCACTTACTGTTGCATTTAAAGATTGAAGATCTTTACAAATAAAATATAACTGACTTTTCTGTAAAAAATTTAAGCAAAATTTTAGCATAAAGTTTCGCGATAAAAAACTAAACATAAAAAGAAAATAGAACTAACAAAATGATACCGGATGTTGTTTATAAAATGCGGAAGATTTTTAGTTTTCATAAATTATTCTTTTTTAAAAAAGAAATAAATTAAATAAGAAAATATATATTATTATAAAATTGCAAATTTATATTTATAAAAAACAATTTTAAAAATTAAAATTTCCGTGATTCACGGTAAATTTATGTTCACGCCCGATCACGCCCGCGGAAAA